CTGTAGCTAGAACCCCTAAAATAGATGCTATTCTGAGAAGGCGTGGTAGAAAAAATTATTTTAGATCAAACTACTCGCTGAGGAAGCACTTATTTAATGGTTAAGCAGTTGCTTGAATTGAAAACCTTCCTTGAAGACCTTGATAATCCAAGTGTTTTATTAACTGAAAACCAATGGAAACAAACAGAAAAATTAGAGAGTGTCTCGTCATATCCTTATACTGTCACCCTAAAGCAGTGTTTCCCAACCTTTTTTGTGCTATGCCCCACCTAAGGCTTTCTTATGCCCCTAACATATACAATGGCTATATGGTTAACTTAAACTCTGGGTGAGTCCATTTTCAAATTGCCCCCCTGAACAATCCAATTGCCCCTGCGGGGCGTGGACCCCACATTGGGAAACACTGCCCTAAAGTTACAAGCTGAAGATTTGACACCTGAAAATTTTATTCTTTCAGTGGAAAACGTTGATGCATCAGCTCAACAAAACTGGAGGAATTGTTGCTAATGTGATTTTATCTTCAATGAGAAAAATAGAAATTCAGTTGTTAGACAATAAAATCTTGTTAGCCACTATTTATGTTGATCCAATGAATCAAATTTTACTAAATGACAACCAAATTGCCTCAGGGGAAAAAAAGCTTCATGAAATAGCTATTCGCTTGAAAAGGTTGCAGTTACCTTACATTTATGAATCAAAAGATGAAAATAAAAATAACGAATGTAATGACAATGTGGAATCATCATCTCCAAAAGAAAAGCTTGATTTTGAAGCATATTTGGATAGTTTAGAATGTCTCAAAGTGAAGCAAAGACATTTAAAAAATCAAGAAACTAAACTGGCAGAAATTGAACAAATAAAATTTGAACAAAATTTTTTAAATGGGCTAATTGAAATAGAAAAGTATGACCATTTATCAAAATTGAACATGAAACTATTTCAATTTATCCAGAAATTATTTGCGATGCAGCTAGATCTGTCACAGCAATGCCCCCAACACAAGTCAGTGTGGAAAGATTATTTTCAGCTTTGAAAATAATTAAAGCTGATTTAAGGGCATCTATGAAGGCAGATTTAATTGAAGCTATTTTGTTTCTTAGAACCATTTTATAAAATTCAAAATTATAAATGTAATTTAGTTTTTTTTATTTAAGTGAAAATATAAAATAAATTTTCTTATTAATTTTTAAAAATGTTTTGTATTTTGTTATAATTCATTTATTTTAAATACAAAATGCAGCAATTTAATTTATTAAATATGTAGTTTTCATTGTAGTATTTGTGTTTAGTATCAATAGTTAAATTATTTTTACCCAATTAAACTTGAATATTTTTAAATCGTTCTTTTATTATTTCTGCTCTAAATAAATATTCTATTTTTCTGAATGAGCCAGACTAAGTGATCAAAGTATATATTTTTCTTTTCTGAACAAGGGGCTAAAATAACTAGATCGCACACTTTTTATTTGGACTAACTTTTCTGCAAAGGTAAAATTGAAGTGCATATGCTGTAGAATAAAAATATGTAAATGTAGAATTTTATTGCTCCCTTTCTCCTCTTATTAAATATTTGTTAAAAATAATTTTTTATACAAATAAATATTAATGTAAGTTAAATATTAAAAATGCTAACTATAAAAGTATTTGGGTAAATACCCGGNAATATATTTATTTTGTTTGTACAAAATAAAAAAATAATTTTTAACAATACAATAGTCTTTGTTAGGCTTAACATCAACGAAAATTCAATGCAAAGCGACACGCAACGGAGAAAAATTTCAACATCGGATACATTAAACTATTTTTTCGTACATAAATCGGTTATCCGAAATATCAGTTATATGAACAACCCTAGTCCCCAACTGATTCGGAAAATCGATGCTCTACTGTATATATTTATTAATTTTTAAAAATTTTTTTATATTTTGTAATAATTCATTTATTTTAAATACAAAATACATCAATTTAATTTATTAATTAAATTAAATATGTAGTGTTCTTTATAGTATTTGTGTTTAATAGTAAAATTATTTTGACCCAATTGAATTTAAATATTTTAGAATCATTCCTTTATTATCCCTGCTCTAAATAAGTACTGTACTCTATTTTTCTGAATGAGCCAGACTAATTGATCAGAGTTCATATTTTTCTTTTCTGAACAAGGGGCTGAAGTTGCTAGATCGCACACTTTTTAATTGATCTAACTATTCTGGAAGGGTAAAATTGAAGTGCAAATGCTGTCGAATAATATATGTAGATGTAGAATTTTATCACCTACTTTCTCCTCTTATTAAATATTTGTTAAAAATTAATTTTTTTATACAAATAAATATTAATGTAAGTTAAATATTATAAAAATACTAACTATAAAAGTATTTGGGTAAATGCCCAGGCTCTGTTCAGAGTAGGGTACCTCCCTATTTCTGCCCCCATATAATGACTTGGTATTTAATTTTGCCAGAGTTGGAGTCAGAGTCAGCCCACTAAAATTATCTGGAGTCAGAGTCGTGTTTTTTTGAGTTTGTCGAGTGTGGAGTGTTACCGACTCCACAGCTTTGATTAAACATATGGTAATTCACAGTGAGTCTGCTAGTACAGATAAAGAAGCTGAGAAGTTCTGTCTGAAATTTGAAGAATTCATTTAAAAAGAAGGATATTGTCCACAACAAATTTTCAATTGTGATGAAACTGGTTTATTTTGGAAGCGCATGCCAAATCATGCCTATATCACGAAAGACAAAAAAGTATTCCTAGGCATAAACCCATGAAAAACCGATTGACGTTACTTTTGGGAGCTAATGATAGTAATGATATGAAGCTCATCCCATTTTTTGTCTATCACTCTGAGAACCCTAGAGTATTCAAAAAAATTCCATAATTAAAGAAACTGCCAGTGATGTGAAGATTGAGTAAAAGGGCATGGGTCATGCAGGCTCTTTTCAAAGAATGTCTGTTTGAAGTTTATGCTCTGAGCATTAAGGATTACTTTCAGACCGATGAATTGCCATTAATTAAAAGCACTGTTGCTATTGGACAATGCACCAGCACACCCAAAAGACCTTGAAGATAATTTGCCAGAAGACTTTGTCTGGCTGACAGTTCAGTTTCTGCCTCCGAATACCACTTTGTTGATTTAACCAATGGATCAAGAGGTTATTGCAGGTTTCAAGAAATTGTAGCATTCAAGCACTGTTTAATCTCTGTTTTGAAGCATGCCAGTTCCCCTCAACAATGGCATTAAAAACGTTTTGGAAAGAAAAATTTGATATTCTTGAAGCTATATGGCTCATTCAAAAGGCGTGGTCAGAAGTCACTCAACGACAGTTGAATTCTGCTTGGCAAAAGCTGTCCCCCCTGCATTCAGGGAGATGGAGATGATGTCCCTGAAATTATGGATTAAATTGTGACAACTGTTAGAGATATGGAATTGGAGGTGAATGAAGATGACATTGAAGAGCTCATAATGGAACCTGAAGCTGGATCTGATGACAGAAGAACTCCAAGAACTCTTGAATGAAGAACACCGAGAAACTCAGCGAAATGTGTTTTCTGAAAAAAAAGGAAGACGAATGAGGGTCAAAATGCCACATCTGCTATTAAAGATCTTTTGAAGAAGTGGGAGGATGTCAGAACAACAATCTTAGAATGGCATCCAAACCAGATTGAGGTTAATAGGCTTGAGGATCTCTATGATGAAAATGCTATTAATTACTTCCGAAAAATCCAGAAGAAGAGAGAAAAGCAATTGACATTGTACAGATTCTTTAATGTCTCACAAACAGAAAAACAATATGACCGATAAACATGCAAGACTGTGTATACAGTTGACCTCCCCTACAGCAATGTTGATTATTCCGTTTTATATGAATTCCATGTTGTACAAATCACTTAGATTTTACAAATACGTGAACCGTTCACAGCCCAGCACACGTATTTATAAAATCTAAGTGACTCATACAATATGGAATTCATATAAAACAGAATAATCAACAGTGTTATAGGGGGTTGACTGTATATGTATTTTTATTATTACATATAAATATAGTAAGAAAGTATATAATTTTTTATTTATTTTTTTGGGGTCTCCAGAACAAATTAATCAAATTTCCATAAAAATCAATGGTAAATTGATAATCAGTTAATGAACAATTTGGATAGCAAACAGAGTCTTGGAACAGATTATGTTCATTAACCAATCACCCACTGATAAACAAATACACACATCAGCCGAAACTCGATAATAAGCAAATATACACCTACCACTGCTGTAAGTGATCAGGCTGAAATTTGGATATAATCATTATATCCAGATTTCAGCCCGATCATTTATGGCAGTAGTTGGTGTATAATCACCCACTGTATTGCAAAAAATGTGTGTGGAATAGTGTGGGTTACTTCTTGCTTTATTTTCAATTTTGTCCTTAGCTAACAGAGATTGTTCATCCAATAAGTTGACAAGAGAATAAAATTTTCTTAGAACTATATAATGACATGTAATATGCAATCCACCTAGTTGTATGATTGACACTATGTGCAAATAGTCTTGGCATAAAAATTTCAGAAGATAAACAAATATTTGTTTATCCTCTGAAATTGTTTATTATCAGGACTAGTTAGATATCAATAGACAGGGACATTTGACTGGATACAGCCGGTCTTTTTGTCATTTACATCATAACTCTTTTGGATGGGCTGACATGGAGATGCTTTGAATAAGGGAAAGAAATTGGCTTTTAGATTTTTATGCCAGGATTGGGGGTCACATCAGTCTACCTCACCATCATTGAATGGTGAAGTGAGATTGATCCACATTATGCTTAGAAAGACTTGAAAAAGTATTAGACAATCTTTAAGGAATTTTTATTCCAAGTGTTTCTCTTATGTCCTGCTTGGAAGAAAAGACTCAGCAGGCAATTAGTTAGATATCTTGTACAGATGCAAATAGACTTAGGCACTTCCTCCACTGATACTTAATTATAAAATGTCTTGAATCTTTTCAGTACAATGCAAAGCACAGAAAGGGGTCGAAGGCTGAACCGGATGGTATCAGGGACAGGAAAAGTGGTATCACAGACTGGAAGAGCTGTGGGTAAGTCCTCTCAGCAAATTTTTCAGTTTTAATGGATATTGATATTTTTCCTTTCTTTTCATTTGTATCTCTTCCACTTGACAAAAAAATGAGTTCTTGGAAAAGACCCTCCAAATGAAGGGTGTGTTTTCCAGGAACTTTTGCATGAACCAATCCTTCTTTTTATTGGGAAGCATCAACAGTCAGTTTCAACATTCCCTTCTCACTCGATTTCTTTCGCAGGAGGAGCCATCTCTGGAGCAAGATCAGCCGTCTCTTCCTGGTGGTCTCATCTGGGTGGTGCCAGAGTCCCAGACCAATCTACCAAAGAAGACATGGATCTAGATTCAACAACTGAATCCCAATCTTAGAAAACACCCAGCAGAAGAAAACTGACAACATTCCGCTATTTAATATTATTAATCTTAATTTTGTATTCTAAGTTATGTAATAAAATGTCGCACTCTGGTTATATGCGAGAAAAGCTTATCTAGCCCCTCAATAACAGCATTCAACAAAGTTTGGTCTATTATAGTTTTAAAATGAAGCTGCCAAGATTAACCTGAGTCATTTCCCTGAAAAATTTTTTACACATTTAAAACATTCAGGTTAGAAAATAAAATACTTATGTATAGAGCTTTATTTTAAACAATAATCTAAATTTTATATGAATAAAACCAATCTGATAATTACTTCAAATATCAAACAAACAGCCAGATTCTTTTATTGGACTATTAAGTTTAAATAATCACTAAGTAATATGGCAAGAAGTAGGCAGTTAAGCTGCCATCACTTGTTAAATTTAATAAGTATAAATAAGTTATTAAATTTAATTTTAGAATATTCTGGAAGAAAAGATTGTTCTGGAGTTACTGGGCAAAGTTGGCACAACATTCACATTTGTGAGCTAGCCTTTTACAAGTGTCTATGGAACATGTGCTTTAAAGTAGGAACGAATATTTGTGATAATTGGCTGCAGCTGTCATGTGATTTTGGCATCAACACATTTTTTAGCAGGAGCACATGGTGATCTAGGTATTTTTAGATCTAATGGAGGTTTAATTACAGATCATTTTTGATAAAAGAATAATTATATTCCCTACAAATGAACAATAACTTGGAATTCTTATTTTTAACCAAAAAAATGAAGCAGATGATTCATTTCATAATTATACTTGGCAACTTTGAAGTTATGAAACTCAAAATTGTCAAATACAATTCTCTCCAAATTTTATCTTTATATTCTATATCCACATCTTTCCAAACCCTATAACTCCCTATAACTATGTCAAGTTACTCAGTTGTTTATGATGAAAAATGATGAAAGATATTTGTGCAGCTGACTGTGATCTTGCATATGAAACTTAGATCACACACTATCGCACAAGGTTATAAAGAAATGTTATATCAAATATTGTGTGTTTGAGATAAACTGCCTTAAAAACTTAATAAACAAACACACAATATTTGATATAACATTTCTTTATAACCTTGTGTAATAGTGTGTGATGTAAGTCTCATATGCAAGTTCACAGTCAGCTGCACAAATATCTTTCTTCATTTTTCATCATAAACAGCTGAGCAACTTGACAGTTACTTCGTTGTTTAGCCATCAACATAGCAGTTATATGAAAAAATATTTTCCTCACTAGATTCAAAATTCCCTCCAAAAGGGAGAAAAAGTAGAGAAACACCAGAGGCAATTATCATATTTGCATTAACCAAGATTACTGTTTAGTGATTTAACAAGAAATCAGGACATTTGCATCTGTGGCAACACTGACAGCAGAGTTGTGTTATTTACAATAAGTAAGGAATGAAGTTTACACCCAGAATGGAAAACCAGGATAAACACTGAAAAGGTGGTGTAGTAAAATTTGCCACTGGAGCCACCAAGGCGGTTCAGGGATTTGATAAAGTTAGATTTTCTGATCTATCTTGAGTCATTCATCATGTAAAAGTCCATCGTCATAGCGAATTCTTTCATGATATTTGGCTGTTATTCATTTTTGACATCATCCCACTTGTTTCTAGCCACCAGATCTGTTGTCTTATTTTTCACGTTCTGTTTGTTGGAGTTTTGTGTAAAAGGTGTAGTGTGTCATCACCAAGGATTTTTTCCAAGAGAACTATGAGTAAGCCCATGAGCTCACCATTGACCTCCAAAATCATCTCTCTCAATCTTTTTGTTCACAGACCTTGTGTTTTACAGCCTGGTACCGAAGTTATATGTAATTGTCTCTCACACTCACAATGTAAAATGATGCATATTATGTAAATGGAACTGTGAAAATGTAATTAATAAACCCATTATTAAATGTTAAAAGTGCTCATATTTGATTTTCTGCACCAGTCTCTTTTAATATTCTCTCTTCCATTCACTTATCCTAAATCCTCATAAAGTTTTTTCCAACCTTCTGTGATGTCAGTAAGTAGGTGTGAATATTTCTTGATGTCAGATCCTGATGTTTTCATAATTTATAACTCAGTAAAACAGCCTATCAGAAAAGCTGAAATTGTGAAGTTAGCTTCATCATTATAATTCTGAGCATTGCTCAATCTCAAGATAGAAATATTAAAGATTAACAATTCCTTCTCCTAGTCATTAATATCTGCCTCTTCTATAAATTATCTAAAAATGTAATTTTAATCTCAGATATTTTTAAAAACAAATCACCCAGTACCAAAGAGCATGGTGGATGGTATTGGGGGAAAAGATTGACAAGGAAAAGAAACAGCTTTCCATCAATTTTTGTGTGCTTTCATATGGTGAAACCATATCAAAAATGAGTGAATTTTAATTGTATTTTTAATATCTAAAAATATATTTTATAAAATATTTCAATTAATATAACAATTAAAATGGCCAAGGGCAATAAATATATACAGATATTCACTATTTGGAAGAAAGTGTTTTTAAAAAGTTTTTATTGTGATTATGCCACCATCTGGGGATTTTTTAACGTTTTTACATAACAAGGCAGATGAATAGCCTCAAAGAAAAGTCCATTCCACCCATAAAGACTGTTTGTTGCTGAGGTTGTGAAAGGATGACAGGATGTAAAGACATCTTATTGTTTCATTCAAGTAGTGAATATTTTTTATATATATTATTTTATATTTACATATTGAAAACTTCAGCAGTCCTATCAACTGCATCTGCAAACAAATCAACTATCTGAAAATGCTTAGTTAACTAAACTTATGATATGTAACTACAATCAATATTTTTAGAAGATGCCGGTGTCAGTGCAGAGTTCAAGCCATCGTACAAAACCACTCACTGCCAACTCTTACAAGTGCTACATAATGATTACTAGCATTTGTTTTGCCTCTTATAAAAAAAATTTTTAGATCCAAAACGTCATATGTCTTTACAAATATACACCTTACATAATGTAGTACATTAAACTAGGTCTACAGTTTAGGCTAGCAGGGAAAGAGAGAGTGCTGCAGTGAAAAAGCACTAGCAGAAATTTGAATTTGCCTACTGGAACACTTCAGTTAGCCGATGTTTCGGATGATCGGTATTTGGATAATTGATGCACTACTGCAGTGGTCCCCAACTGCTGGGCTGCGGACTGGTACCGGGCTGCCCAAAGAACATTAAATTACTGGTATTTCCATTTTATTTACTATGGTGTATTTCTCTCGAGTTTGTGCGACTTTTAATGGATGACAGGACAGCAACAGAATAAACTGGACATAAGAAACACACTTCGGGTGTCATTGTCTCTTATTACCCCCAGATGGAACCGTCTTGTTGCAAAGAAACCAGCTCAGGGTTCTCATTGATTTAACGTTCTAGTGAGTTAAAATGTTAAATCACATTATATTCATTTTTTGGTGTAACTGTATTTCATTTCGAAAGCATGTTTAAATACAATTAAATTAAAATTATTAAATTAAATCAATTTAAAATATAAACAATCAATGTCCCCCTCAGTGGGCTGAGGTAAAATATCAAACGTTGACTGGTCCGCGGCGATAAAAAGGTACATGCGGCACTGCTCTACTGTACTGTACATGCTTTGAATCCTTGCTCTCCTATCCATTTCTTTTCTAAACCTATTTCACCTAAGTATAAGTAGCCATCATTAAATATATTGGAATCCATTGGACTGTTATCTAAGCTACATTTGTAGGATCTATAAATTCTTTGATAAGCCTTTTAGTATTTAGTTACAAAAACCTCCTCTTCACTATAAAAGTCTATTGTAGAGGTTTTAACAGCATTATCAAGAATATCAGTCCATCAATACAGCTTAGCATTTGCATTGCTTGAGATGATGATCTGTGTGTTGTTAGAGTTATTTCAAACTATTTACAGAGCTATTTTCAGTTTTGTAAAAAATTCTTTTGTGGTCTCTTGAGAGTCAATGGCAAAATTTACAGTCTATTGGGCAACTATTAACTATATTGTTAATTTTAACTTTTTAACTTTGCTTTTCCACCCCAAGGTATATGAACAAACTGATTACTTGCTAGCACTGCTGGCCTGAGCAAACTCAGCATCCTAGGCAAATGACTTTGACGTCGCCCCAAAAGTATCTAATTTTTATTCAATATGTAGCATGCAATATCGTGATCGTGAGACTACGGCACTATTTTAAAAATGACGACTCACAGGTTAACACATGAGAAAGGATTGCGATCAAAAAACATTTATTTTTTCATTATTTATTGTAATTTATGCATGTACTTTCACCATGCTGTCCCCCGAATTCAAGCACCCTAGGCCATCACCTAGTTTGCCTATATGAACGGGCCGGCCCTGCTTGCTAGAGAAGAATGCATTTCTAGTAAGTCTATAATAATTGGAAATCTTGTTGTTGTTTTTTTTTTTTTACTCTATTGTTCTTCGAGAGTATCAGGATCATCTACCAAACTTCTTTCTGCTTCTTTTTGGAGGAGAGAACTCTCATTTTTGTTTTTATTTAAGTTTAGAATATGGATGGTTAATTCATGGTAAGATTGTTTCACTGCACCTTTCATGTGTTTTTCTGCTTTTCTAACAAATTATCAGGTTTTAAATAAAATTACTGGCTTAATTCATCATTTTTAACAATTTTAAACTGGTTCTCTACATACTTATTAGTGTTCCTGGTACAGTCTGGGAGCATAATTCCACTTCATAGTTGAAAGTGAGGTAAATATTGATTAAGGAATATACTGAGAAGATTCACATTGAAAAATTCATTTCCTTCACAAGAAAAGTGTAATATACCTTGTCTTACTTTAAGTCAGTGATTCCCAAACTTTTTCAATCCACCACCCCCTTTGTTCCATAAAGTTATACTCAACGCCCCCTAACCCATTTTCTTGTGTGAGAAAGGATTGGAAATATTCTTAGGAAAACTTTTCTATGAATCTCACACTTTGTGCCCTTACCATACATTGTTCTCAACATCTGGAAACCATTAAACACTGTTTCTTATCAGTTTAACAGAGGAAAGGGAATGGATTTCAGTGACCCCAA